AATCACTATAATATAGCATGTAGAATGTATGTTATTATATGAAAAAAATATTACTTATCTAAGTAATTATCACTTAATGTGGTCTCAGGCGCGGTAAGTGTTATACTAAAAGTAAATTTTCCTCTGCACGATATCATATAAAATCGTTATTTATGATAATACTTTTGGCATTATTTTCTCATAATGTTCTCTTTGTACTGAAGAAGAAAAATCATAAATTCTTATTACCTCATCACTTGTACAATATTTCAATTACAGTATTTTGAAAGATAATTTATTGAAGGAAATAAATACTTTGCTGAAGGTTTTATTTTATATTTTGAGTGTTTTTTTTTTAAATAGCTCTGTATGTAAACAATTAACCCGGGTTTTATTTCTTTTTTTTATGATTCATAAAATACTGTGAAAAATTGTAGCGCCTCGCTTTTTTGGCGAGTACAAAGGCTGCTTGTTTAAAAAAAAGACTACGATTAAGCACTAATAGTAAGACACTAGTTATTAGGTTAAGTGCTAGGATATTGTAATTGGATTATTACATGCCAATCCTTCAAGACGCTTAGTCTCCTGACCTATTGACTGTAATGCATTCATGGTTGCAAATACCATTTGAATTTTCACTGCCGATATACTAATGTTAAATAATTTTTTATGTAGAAATTTCGGTACTATATATGTATGTTTACAAACTAGTTTGTATAAAAATCAATCATTTTTTTATACAAACCACTTTATGAAAAAAAAAATATTCGACAGTGTCACTCATTCTTGTACTACAAGTCTTTAGGCTTTAAAAAGAAATGAAAAACGTCACCCATTACTTACCTACTCTTAAGATTCTCAGCATAATTTTGGACTCGTTTATTTAACTTTCATAATGAAGACGGGACAATGACGGTAACAAAGAAAACCTTTTTTACTCTCAAAATGTAACGACCCTGCTCACCCCTCGCCTTTCGCTAATTCCTGTCGCATGTTATGTCCTTGCACTTTTATGTCTGCATTGTAATTGTCTTTTCTTCGAACAATATTTAATTTTTATTTATGACCTCTTATGATTATTATGCACACAAAGTACATACGAATGAAATTAAATGAATCTTTTTTTTTAATCTATGCATCAATGTCTGACTAAATTGCTGGCCCGATGGTAGGCTTTAGATTCATTTCTTTTTGGATTTCGAAGCCGAACGATCACTGGTTTGGTGACACCAAATAGACATAATTATAAAAAAATAGTGTAGACATTTTTAAAATTGATATCACAAAGATATTAACTATCTCCCCCGTCTCCGTTTGTACGAATAAAAAAGTGGTTAAGCAGAAATAGCAGCCATTTCATGGAGATCCATTCAATCCTTTAGGAGATACCTTCTAATAAACATCTATTCTAACATAAACTTTCGCAGTTATAATTTGTAAGAAGTACGAATTAATATATTTTTTCAAAGGTGGGCTTTAATACAATGTCTCGTTGGATCGACAAAAGGTTATTGCTTACAAACGGTCGACCACCCCGTAGCTCGATGTGCAAACTCCACGACCCCAGGGTGATATTAAAAAACGCTTACACTTATTCTCTTTAGGACTCTCTCATTTACTTACTTAGTTCTTAGCACAGATAATACAAGTTTTTAGTGTTTAATTTTTCAGGTTTCATTTACATTTCACTTATAATAATTAATAAACGAAGACAAAATAAGTTGCTTGTAAATGGGAATTATACATTTGTTATTTATAAAGGTTTTTAACTATAAATTGATGAAATATCTTATGTTTAAAAAATGAATATTTCACATTTCTATGTCAACAATTGCATTAGGATTATAAGAGTACGGTGAACTTAGTTTTATCCCGTCTCTAGTCTGGGGCGTTAAACTTAAGAAGTGTCTGACCTGCTGGGATGAAATCACTTAAGTCCCGATAACGATTAGCATAAACACGTAATTAGAGCTAAAATAGACAGCATTCAGATGAACTTTGCTACATAACAAAAAAAAATGTACTGTCCGTTTTATTTGGCCAAACATATTTTTAACAACTTGTTTTTTTACAGGTTTTTATCATTGGAAACTTCGATCTTGATTTTCTAAAAAGTGCCTAAAGGAGTAAACTAAATAAATGTAAATAAACCTTTCGTTTTATCAGCATTCAGTATTTCCGTTACGCAATAATGTGCAATATAATATAAATATATCTTAATGTTGTGTATAAACATAATTTTAATTGATATCTTTATCTCGGTTATAACACAATATTTAATAATCTTACGACATACATTGCAATATAACATGTTCAACTTTGGCCGACTACATGAGTAGTATGAAGATTGGAGTGAAAGAATACACTACAATGCATTCTAAGACAAAAGATATCTCGTTGTAGTAATTATTAGGCCAAAAAAGTTTAAATATAATGGTCGTAAGACACGGGTTTCTTACCAGAGTTGGATATTTTTAGCTCTTGGAAAAATTATATTTGTAAAAACACTGACAGTTTAAAGTTATACATTGAAAAACTTCAAGTTATGTTCAAACATTGAATTTAAAGTTAACTACATAAGAAAAAGAGAATTCACTGCAAAATATAAAAATCAAAATCGACGAACAAAAAGAAAGATACAAAGAGAATTGGCAAGTTGTGAGCTTTGTTGCAACACATGTCGAAAAGCAAAATGAGAAATAGATTCCTCAAAGGAGTTGTGCCTTTCACAACAAATTTCATAATGTTAAAATATTTTGTCAAATTTATAACAACAAAAGGTCAATTTAATGTCATTTATAACTTTATTACTATTAATTGTAATTGTAAGTCCATATGGACATAGTGTGCAGTAATTTTCATGGATCTGTAAGATCTGTGTATAAGGCGTCATATACCAATTTACTTCCTTCTTACTCTTTATGCTTTTTTGGGTCCTCTACCTCGTAGTCATCTACATTAATGTTATTATTTTTTTGTTGATGCACCCACACCATTTACAGCAATAGACTTTGATTCTAAATTTCTCTATCACTGTAGCAAAAGTTAACTATAAGGATATCTCGACCTCAATATTGTGGTGAGCGGTCGGAGTCTGGCAGAGGGCTGTCTAAGATTATCCACTCATGGGGATAAGCTGCGCTCAACTTTCATTGGATAGAAAATTATTCATTGCATAAATATGAATAAAAGTGGTTCATAATAGGACTAGGTTAAAGACCTGAGATATATTGATTGGCATTATTTGAATCGTCTGTTGTTAAGTAATTCAAGTATAATATAGAAATAATTGCAAAAATAAATCATCCCACATCTTGAAAGTAATTTCTAATTCAACAAATAACCCAAATGTTTGACCACGAAATGTGATATTGCTATTGCTCAAGCGTTCATTTTTATTATATTTATTCAAAGATGAAACTACTTTCGTTAGCATTCATAAATTGAAAACCTGAGTATTACGAAGTTATTGAGCTGAAGTGCGGTGACACGTAATTCATTATAGCGCTCTACTTCGCCCACTTACGCGCACCACAAGTGTTGGCAGAATGTTAAAGAAACGCTGAATAGATTTCACAGTACTAGTCTAATTAAATCTTAAGGTGTTTTATTTATTTTTCCATGTTTAGTAGAAATTTACCTTGACTCTTGAATTAAAAGAGAAATGTTTTCATTGCAATTTTAACATTAATAAATACTGGACGTAAATTTGTAAGGCAGAAGAAATATTACCCAAAGAAATACCTGGGTAGAAGTAAATAAAATTTTTAAATGTATTTACAATGTATTTTTTGTCTGTAATTATAATTGCATGGGAATAACAAAGAACGTGTAGAAATTGTAGCCTGTGAACCACAAAGTAAGCTTCAACAACAAGTCTCAAGCCAACATCACGCAAGCCGTGACCCAATTAAGATTTTTAACTTATAATATTTACTTTATACTTAATCTGATTTACGGTCCACTGAAAATGTATTCTAATCAGCACTCCAAAGTAGCTGGATTTTGTCATAAAAAAAAGAAACAAGAAAAAGTAATTGTAATTATTAATCAGCTTGATTGGTTTATGTTCACTTTATATATGCACCAATAATAGCCTACCTCTTGTACTACCAACAAGTATCTATAGTTACTTAATATTATAAAGAGGAAAGATTTACATTTTTTATGTATTGAAAAAACTCAAAAACTGTTGTGCCGATTACAGAAATTCTACGTTATCAGTGAGTGACATAGGCTATCTTTTTTATAATTTTTTAATTTCACCGAACGAAATCACGAGCAACAACTAGCCATTAATAAACTGCTGTAAATTTGTCATAGGAATTTCCACTCTCAAAATTTTCAACCATACTCGCGCCTTACTAACTACAGCTTGATAATTCCAAAGCCTAAAATATTAACAAGCCTTGACAACTAAATGGTATTTCAGTTTTCTGGAAGGCGATGTTATACGGAAAACATAAAAATGTTAGTCCTTAACTTGCAAGTAAAGCGATTAGCGCGTCGCCGGAGGGTCTTCAACACGAAACTCTAAAGGAATTATTAATGCTACATCCATAAACATAAAAAAGTGGAATTTATACTTCACGTATTATTAAATTCTAAATTGTAAGCGTCTATTAGACTTAAAACTAGAGGTATTTTTAGGAAATTAGTACAAGTGATACAAGGAAACTTAGTTATGGTTGGAATTTAAAACATATTAAATAAAAACTAATATGCACATTACTATTAACAAGAATTTATTTTTCCGTAGTTAAAATAACAATCATTATCATATTTATGTTACTGAAAAATTTTACATAATAATATAACTAGTATTAAAATATGTTTGTACGATATAAACTAAAATTAGTTAGTGAACTTATTCATGCACAATGGGAACGATTAATGAAAAACTTTGAAGAAAATATTAGTAATGTTTTAAATGAAATCACGGTAACAAATTAGTAAACAATGAACAGAAGTCTTCAATATAAACAATCCATTATTTACACTTATTAATGTAGTAAGCAACGGTCACTCGAATAGTGTGTTTGTGTATTGACATGATGATAGTTATCTATTTCTTAGTTGGTTTATTTGTTAATAATTTGGTCAGCGCTCGGATTGAAGATTTAAGTAAGTAACAAAATGTATTTTGTTGGTTTTAATTTTTTTTAATAATAATTAATTAATTCAACAGATGATGTTACAAGAAATGACTTAAACGAAACGGAGCCTGATAAACTTCGAGTATTCGATTTGTTGGATTTTCTGGAACAGGTAATGACATTTTTAATTTGATTGACTTCTGATTACAGTAAAATTTACGATCTTACTAATATTTTAAATGCGAAAGTTTAGATGGATGGATAGATGTTTGTAGCCTAAATTGCTAAACGGACCTCAGTGAAATTTGACATAGATGTAGAGGATACTGCACGAGGACGGAGTCGCGGACGAAAACTACTTAAAACATAATGTTTGTACAAATGTTTCAGGTAAAATTCTCTAAAGAAAATGATACAGTACTCCTTCAAGTGTACTACGAGAGTTTTTGTCCCTTCTGTGTACAATTTTTTACTGGGGAACTGAAAACGGTCATAGAAACTCTGGGACAATATATAGACATCAGAACATATCCTTATGGGAATGCTAAGGTATGCTTTGTTTTAAAATAGACGAACGGTTGAATCATATTTACTATTTTTAAATTGATTTATAAACTCCTTTCATTATAACACTACTGGCAGTTGGAAAGTAAATCTGATCATAAAATCCACTGTCCACTGATTTTTTACAAGCAGCCTTCTACACAAAATTAACGTTATTATCTTCAAAATAATGTAATATTCTGACGATGCAACAGTTATTAAATAGTCGATATAAACTGAGATAAAGTATGAGAAACTGATAACCTTTAGATCTTGGCATTTTAATTACTTTTTGAATCAATGGTTATCTTATTTTCCTTATTTATTATTTTACGTATTTTCTATTGGTATGTGCAACATTATCCTATGATTTCAGACAATCATTGATGAGAATGGTAAATACAAAATTGAATGCCAACACGGTCCTGCTGAATGCTACGGCAACAAGCTGCACGCATGTGCTTTAGATTTATTGCAGAATAAAACTGAAGCGTTAATCTTCAACTCATGTTTGATGACCCGGAGAAAAAACACTCGCGGTTCAGATGATAAGGCCGCTGACGCAGTAAGTACGTTCTCAGGTCGATGACCTGCGATTAAAGGCAGCACTATTGAACTCCAAACAGCATTACATACAAAACGTATATTTAATTTTTTTTAGCAACATTAATTGTCCGCGTAGAATTAAAAAAACAAAAGTGACTATCCAATGTGATCTTTCAGACAATCCTCTATGTCTGTACCAAATTTTATCAAGATCAGTTCAGCCGTTTAAGCTACAAACTCTAAGAAACATCCATACATCCATCTAAACTTTCGCATTTATAATATTAGTATGATGTAAGTCTTGCAACATAATAGAAATTATTACATCCTTACAGTTAATGAATTTATCGATCAGTAATAAAAAAGTTAACCAGCGACGTCTTCTTCAGTATACAACTTTTTTTTTCAGTGTGGTACAGAACTAAATGTAGATTCAAACAAAATCAAAGAATGCGCAAAAGGTAACAAAGGCGATGAACTTTTAAAATACTATGGTGACGAAAGCAAAAAGGCGAATTTCCATTACGTTCCATACATCCTGGTCCAAGGACGTGTGAATGACAGAGGAGACTTAATAAAGGATATCTGCAGTGTTTTCGTCAACCCACCACCACCTTGCAAAGATACGGAAAGCGTTAAGTAATGACGAATAATAGGAAGCCATCTATACTTTTACTTTATTACTATAATCAATTTAATATTTTAACCGATATCATCAAAACGTACTACAAAATACCAAAACATGTAATAGTGCATATTTAAAATTTTACTGAGCATTTGAGTCGGTGCTCAAAATGATAATCATGTCTGAGTATTCGGTGTGATCTCTCCGCGTCGCAGATTATTGGGATTGTCGTGAAGAGGTAACGTTAGTATGAGTCTCCACTGTCTGTACTACGACTTTATTGTCATTCCTCTCATTCTCAAGAAGATAACAGAGATAGCAATAGTGCCCGTGAACAATTGTTAAGCCATTAAAAATTCACGATTAAATTCACAATATATTATGACTATCTAGGATACGTTTTACTCCTGCAATAAAAATTACAACCGTAAAATAATTTTTGTGTTTTATTTTGTAGTAATTGATAACTACGGTGTATAATGATTGTTGATGATGGTTTTATATAAAAACGAAAAGTACTAAAGCTTCGCCATCTAAAATGCACCTCTGTACATTCCCGACCTGAACCCTCTTGAACCACCCTACTATAGTATGGATATTTTTAAAATTCTAAGTATTTGTACTCAACGAAACATCGGATTTCGTGTTTAAAAATATCAAAGGAAATAGTTTAGTCATTTGAATTATTAATTCTAGGTTTTAACTATGGGCAAAACCGCACGCGTAATCCGTGACATTTATCATGTTTACTTCATTATTATTATAATATAATAAAGCTAAATAAGATAAGGATATAAAATAATAATTAGTCGAATTAAACATTGAAATATTGGAAGCTTCTGTATAAACAGTAAAGTCAATTTTAAATTTGATTGTAATTCTTGTTTTATTATTATTCATTATTTTCCTAATAGTATAATAATAGTTGCTTTTATCTTTCCATATCTGCTCAAATAGGAGATCGATTTCAACGATTATCAAACGAACAGTTATCAAATCCATTAACTTCTAACATAGAAACTTTTAATCTGTTGTACTAAATCTGTTTTAGGTGATTTTTATTAGAAAAATAATTTAATGAAAATAATACTTTCGGTAATTTGTTGTTTAAAGTGAAATAAAAAAAAACACAAATAAAACTAAAATAAGGAATTTAAAACAAAAAAATGTGTCTTACTTAAAAATGCCCTACATTTCGAGTTATAAAAAATCGTGTATTTTTGTTTACCTTTGTAATAGCTGAATATTTTTTCAAAATGTACCCATGTTACAAAAACGTTCATTCAGTACTTTTTGTCCTGCTGAATTGAAACAGGAATAAACAAGCAATGTTTTGTTCGTTTATTTTTACAGTTTCACAAACAAGGATTTCCCGAAATTTTCATTCTGATGGTGACCTACATTTTACCATCGTATCGTCCTGCGATACTCAATCTGTATAGAAAAAATCAAATATATATTTAATTACTAACATTTCAAATAAATATGTTAATTATGTTGCAATTTTGCAGAATTTCTATGCTGCAACAATAGAATTTTTGCTATTCCGATCCATGCATTTAATGAAAACATTCTTTTTGAACTAATTTATCGTTAACATATTAGAATTTGTAAAAATACGTTCATTACTTTTTCGTTTTGATAAAATTCTTTAGTACATGATTTTTCAAATCAGTCTTCAGTTATGCGTTACTTGAAAAAAAAAAAACAATAAAGTAGTTGCTGGATTTCCAAAAACATTCCATGTTATCAATGTAATGCAAGCTAACATTAAATAAGTTATTTCTTTATCAAAATGAATTCGAAAGCAATTCATAATGATATAGAAATATGTCAGGTTTTCTAAAAACGTAGTTACAAAAGCATTTAAAAAGCTTTGATTCATATTATTAACTGACAATCACAAGACTACTGTTTCGAAATACAATCCATAATTAAAAATACAATTTAATTTCATTAACTACTTAAATATGTCAAAATGTTTTTTATTGTTATTTTATTTTATCTGTCAGAACTCTGTGATGAGTATGCCGAATGACGAGATAGCAAGTAAGTTCCCATTTTCTTATGAAATAAACATTTCTCAAATTTTTAACTGCATTGTATTCACTTTTTGATATTATTTAAGCAGATGAGCAGGGTTATGAAATAGATACAAGATTATATATCGATGAGAAATCTACAGACGAATATCTAAGTTCTTCAGATGAGGTAATGATGTAAATTTAACTCTTTACCATTAATTGAATTAGCAAAATACAAATGGTAAACCATATCTTAGCATAAACATACAGCTTAGTAAATTTTTTTTAGTATAGGGTGACAAAGTATGTGCCATAATAGCGAAGTCATCTCTGGCCATTAACTAAAGAAGAGAATCACAGAAAGAGTTTTTATCCTACTTAGGGGAGGTGAACTATTTTTTTTAAGATTCCAGCACATACGCTTAGAACCCAAGTACTTTAGTTATATAAAAAAACAATCATTTTCAGGTCAGTTCCGAGGTAGAGTTTCGTGTACAATTCTATTACGAATCACTGTCTTTCGGCAGCTGGCTAGCATATACCTTTATCGTTCACCCTATGATAAGGAGTCAAGATCCTCGTTTATCAGTTGAAACATATCCTTATGGATTTGCACAGGTAAAATAAAAAAAATAACGGCTATATACTGTAACGATATTTATGAAACGAATACCTCTTAAGCTTAAGGGACAGATCTACAAGTCCATCATAAGACCTGTCGTATTGTATGGATCTGAATGTTAGAAAAGGAGATTGCATGTGGCTGAGATGCGTATGTTAAGATGGATGTGTGGTGTGACAAGAAGCAAAGGGTTAGCGTGGTATGGACATGTTATGCGACGGGACGATGGGGACATAAACCAGAGAGTGTTAAGAATGAATGTGGATGGCTACAAACGAAGAGGAAGACCGAAGAAAGTATAGGTGGATTGTGTGAAAGAGGATATGCTTAAGAAAGGAGTTGATTCAGATATGACGGCTGATAAAGATGGAAGAGCAGCATACACATGTAGAGTCTAAAAAGATGCAGCCACAATGCTGTAAGAAGACAGCATAGCGTTGTTATAAGTAAATTAACCATGTTATCATGTCGAATATTCAGAACTATTAGTAATATGCTTGCTATAAAAATATTAATTTCAGACATATAGATACGGGCGGAGTTACACATTCAAATGCGAGCACGGTCCAAAGGAATGTTACGGCAACAAGCTACATGCTTGCACCTTATATTTATTTAGCAACAAAAAAGAAGCCATGTTATTCAACTTCTGCTTGATCAACAATAATTCTAATGATACTGCAGTAGATGAGGTAAATAAGTGATACTTAAATAGAGTTTACAGTTACAAGAGGTCAAATACATTCTTATGAAATATTGCACAATTTATCTGTAAATGTTAGGTAATTTTATCTTAAAATTACGTGTTCCCCTTGTCTGACTATTTAGGAATTTAAATTTTAAGTCGGATAAAGCAGGCTAATGATAATTTCGATAGTATAAAAGGGTTATTTTTTTTATATTAAATTATTTTTAATAATTGCAGTGCAGTCAGGAAATGAATGTGTTACCTGGACCCATAAAACAATGCGCAAAAAGTAGTCTTGGCTCAATACTTCTTAAATATTTTGGCGACGAAAGTAAAAAGGTTCATTATAATGAAATTCCATACTTGTTGATCAACGGAGAGCCGGTTCTCAACATGACGCAGACAATCAGAGACAATGTTAACACTGCAAAAACATTACTGGACCGAATCATGACAGGCCTAGAGCCGAAATTTAAACAGCCATAAAATAAGGAAATTATTAAGAACTTGTGAAGATCCCTGTTTGAACGAAAATATTATTATTAAACGAAATAGTTAATCGTGTCTGTCATTTCATCATCTTCATAATCATTAACAAAAAATGTTAACACTACATTTAATTCTTGCTGTTTCTCAGTGTGAATTTAAAACTAAACAAATAGTACAGGTGAAATACAAATTATCAAGAAAATCAAACGACGTTAAGTTGAAACACATTCTAGTATTAGTAACAGGTGTGTAAGCTTCATTCTGAACAGAACACTAATTTGATAATAAAACAGTGAGAAGGAAGTGAATAGAATATGAACCCCTTGAACTTACCCTTTAGTCCAACTTAAGACAATTAAATACCTCGTTTTACTAGCCTGAAGCTATTGATTGCAACATATTTACTGTTTTAAAGCCTCTTATCACGTGCGTTTGGAGAGAATGCACCTCTAACCATATCTATCTTGCTGGCCCTGAAGCAAAGTTTGGGAGCATTCCTCTCCAGCTTGTCGGCATCATGGGTTAGCTCTACGACATCACTGTGTTCCCCGCAAAACCACGCTATCCAATCTAATTCGTTATCAAATGCCAAACAATAAACAATCGTTGCATTGGTAATTCCGGCGATGTGATAGCAAAAATATTAAAAGCAGTTGGGATAACACGATACTACAGTCAATAACTGTCCGTGGATGGGAAAACATCTCTCACAATACATATAATTGTTGCAAATATTTTATCTTATTTTATTATTTAAATATGTCTATTTTTATATACTTGTTATGTTTTGTTTATCTTAGCTGTGAGTGTAGTGCGTTACCAAGTACAAATCAACTGAGTAAGTTCAGGATTGAATTTGTTTTGAGGTATAAATTCTTCTAAAAATAATTCAGTGTTGTCAAGATGAATAATCTTTCGTATTTATGTTCATCTTACTTAGAGCGTGTGCACACCTGAAACTAAGCGTTCGCACAACTGTTTAGTCTTGTTTTAATTCCTACTAGCATGTGGAGGTGTGCTCACTACTCGATATTTAGTTGTGCAACTAAACAGTTGAATTTGGCTGCGCAACAATCGACAAACAATTGTGTGATTATTTAGTCAAAGATGTGTGCCCGCTCTTAGAAAGTCTACGACGAATGTATCATCACCCCACTGACCTTATCACACTATAAGAGACCGGCGCACCAAGTCTTCGTTTTCCAAATCGATCTATTACTCATCATTGTAGTCTCGTTTCTTTCTTCTTAATCTTGTCACCTTTCTCACAATCCATTCCAGGCTTACCAACAAATTTTACTGTGTGTTTAGGACGGCAACTTTGTTTTTCGTCTTGTTCAGAACTTCTCAACAATAATTCAAAATTTTCATGCAGGAAATAAATTAATTTATAAAATTTATTTTCTAACAGATAATGCTGTGAAAGATTTAGATAAAATTAATAGTACATCGATAAACAATGATTCGAGCATTATCACAGAAAAGGTAATGGTAAGTTTGTGTAGATATTGATCTCTTAATAGATTATTGATTAATCGTATTATAATTTTCAGGCCGACAATGTTCAAGAAAAAGTATTGATACAATTTTACTACGAATGCTTGTGTCCTTTCTGCATGCGATTCTATACTGAAGTTTTTGTACCTATGGTAGGAAAACTTGGTGAATACTTGGACGTTCGGACATATCCCTACGGTAACGCTTGGGTAAGCCATTTTAACTTTGTAGTATATATTATCTTTAGTCTAAAACAGAAATATATTAGACATGTACAGATTTCTTCAAAAAAAAGAGATTTAAATTTTAACATAATCAGGAAACCAACCTGATATGTCAATTACATTTTGGTATTATAATACAACGCACTCTATTCTGTTTTGTGTAGGTGTTTCGACATTAGAAGCCCATCGTTATAGGTATAGATATAACCTTTCAATAACTACAATTAATTTCAGACTAACAAAGTTAATGGATCGTACGTGTTCGACTGCCAGCACGGCACGGCTGAGTGCTACGGCAACAAACTGCACGCGTGTGCCTTAGACCTGCTGGAGAACAAGACTCAAGCCTTGGTCTTCAACTCATGTTTGATGAACGGTTATTCAGATGATAGCGATGCAGATGCGGTTAGTATACTCAATCTCTTTATTATAATTGTGGATAACATTGATATTCTGCATTCACGCATATTGTATTCTACGAGGCCTTGACATGAATTCGATTTCTATAAGATGTTTTTAAACGGTATAAGCAATTGCTGTTTGAGCTCGTGTTGCCTACAGAGTAGGTAAGCTGCATACTAACATTTCAATTAAATATGAATGAAAATGTATTTTCGTCAAAATTTATGGTATTATCATTTACTCATTTTTTATTTTAAAACATTTCAGTGTGGAAAAGAACAGAATGTGGATGCTGTTGCCATAAAAGAGTGCGCGAAGGGCGAGAAAGGTACACAGCTTCTCAAATACTACGGCGATGAAAGCAGCGATGGACACTACAGCTACGTTCCTTATCTCCGAATCAATGGAGAACACAGAGCAAGATTTAACTTCGTATTTAAAGTCTGTAAAACCTTTAAAGTACCTCCCCCTCCTTGTGTAGAGGTAATCAACAGCGAAAATGATGAAGAATAAACGAATTTAAGTAGAAAATTATTCTTTATTTATGTCCATATTTAAAAAACAACAGTAATTAGACTATGAGCTATGCCTGTAAGTATTTTGTCACAACATTCAAGTCGGAATAACCGTCTCGGTGTTACTTAGAAACTACCATACATCGATCCTTTCGTATTTATAATATTAACTACTAGCTTTCACCCGCGACTACGTCTGCGTGGAATTAAAAAAAAAGTAAATGTCCTTTGTGTTATTCCAGACTTATCTTTACATCTATGCCAAATTTCATCGAGATTCATCGAGCACTTTAGGCTTTAAACTCTAACAAACATCCATCCATCCATCTAGACTTCCGCTTTTGTAAGATAAGTAAGAATGTAAGAAGCAAGATAGCAAGATAGCATATGATAAATATATGAACCTTAAAATTAAAAACGAAAGTTGTTAATAGGCTATAGGAAACACATTAGAAGTACATCTTTTAATTTAAACAATAAACATAGTTACTTAACACTCTGATTTCTAACGCCGTGCTCAAAGTCTTTAAATTCTCTCCCTTCGGTAGACTTATTTAAACCTCTTTAGACACAAAAAAAATTTAAACAAGCAACATATGGTGCTTTGAATTTTACATTTTCAACATTATGAGTGACAACACTTAAAATAATACCAAAATTGACTAAAACAATATTGTCAAAGTGACGCAATAAATATGTCAACATGATTCCAATATTTTTCCGATGTTTAATCATATATTTTTTAATTAATTTAATATACGCTAGACGTCATAAGCATTGTAAGTATGAGTTCAGTAACATTGACATCTAGGCGGCTTTTCTTCTTCTTCTGGCATCTTACCTCTCCGACTAGCGAAGGCTGGCGGTCAGTCTTCCTTTAACTCTCATCTCTTGCGAGGCGAAATACTTGGGCGATACTCGCAATTCCTGTCCACTCTTGGATGTTCCGTAACCACGATTTCTTTCGACGACCAACACTCCTTTTACCGGCAACTTTTCTCCTCAAGATGAGTTGAAGGAGATCGTATCTATCATGCCTGAGCACGATGCCGAATGCGGTACTTTTCTCATCTTGATGGACTGCAAAAGTTTTAAACATAGGCGGCTTTTAAAACATTAATACCGAAATAAGATATGCTTACAGATTTTGATACATCAAATAAATTCAATGAAACCGAAGAAGCATTAAAATTTCTAGACGGCGATGCAATAAGTCCACTGGAGCAGGTGATGAAAAAAATTTTGCAAAATCATTCTTGAAACTAGTCGAAAGATAACATCATTTCATAACTATGTTCTAGACTTTCCGGTCAAAGGAGAGAGTAGTGATCCAAGTGTTCTACGAATCTTTAAGCCCAGAATGTAAAACGTTCCACAAACACATATTAATGCCGGTTGTACAAAAATTAAACAATAATATAAGGGTTATGACGTATCCATTTGGAAACGCGCAAGTATAGTATCTAATTATTAAAACTACTGACAGTTCTTTCACGAACACAGTTCGACAAACTTCTCTGACCCGGTGAAAATAATACAATAGTTTGTAAGCATCTGACAATCAAAGAAGTACCACAAAAACCCTGTGAAACTGTAGCTTATATTTATTTTATATAATTTTCACTACTAACGGCGATAATGTACCACTATAACTCGAGAAAGATATTTTAACCATTAGGTAGTAAATCATCAAGGGCATGTGGAGTTCAAATGTCAGCACGGTCCCGAGGAGTGTTACGGCAACAAACTGCACGCTTGCACCCTCGCTCTGATGGGCAACAGGACTCAAGCTTTGGTATTTAACACGTGCATGATGAGCCTTAAAGGTCACAGTCATGGCTCTGATGACCACTCCGCTGACGTAGTAAGTGGTGGTATCGATTACTAGCTGTTGCTAACGACTCTGTCCGCATTAAGATAAAAAAATAATAAAAAACGACCTGATGAAGCTACTCCTTGATAATGTAGCTTTTAAATGCTGAATTTATTTTTTTAAATCGGCCAGTAGTTTTTGATACTTACTATACTTACAAAAATAGATAAATTCATCTTTATAATATTGGTATAAGTTTGTGGATATATATATGAATCGTAATAAGGTACCTAAAGTCTTCCATTGGAAACTCAGTTTTAATATGTGAACTGTTATTATTTCCCGGAGTTTAATAGGTACAGGACGGGAGGGCTCAGTTAGTTGATTTGCCGCAAGTTTTTCGCGAAAAATTAAAAAAATAATGGCAATATGAATTAAAAATTATATTTCAGTGTGGCAAAACATATAAAGTGGATACTGCATCGATAAAAGAGTGTGCTAAATCCAGTACAGGCGATGAACTGTTTAAATTTTTCGGCGATGAAAGCACAAAGGTGAATTACAGAAACGTGCCGTACGTCCTAATCAACGGGCGACCTTACAAGGGCGAGAACCTGATGCGCAACGTATGCGCCGCTTTCAACAAACCTCCTGTCGTTTGCGGCAAGCTGCACTGAACGTTTAGACATTTATATGTAAAAATAATTACTAAATCTGAATATTTACATTATTTTATTTTTCAAATCAAACCGATGTATTTAAGAATGATTTTACTAACTCGATAAGTGTCTAACGAATTTAAAAATATTTTTGAAACTTAAAATCGAATCAATGAATCCAAAAATTCACAAGGACCTATATATCTATATATTTTTCTAACAATAAAACAGCCATAATGTTTATTAACAATATTTATTATTGTATTACATCACATTATATGCAGTTTATTTAAAAAAAATATTACATTGGTTATGCCTTTACGCGCAAGTCAAGCGATAGAGAGAATTTAATTATGCCGTATACGGTGAAGAATTAAATAAAATTCATTCAGTCACGGTCCCTTATCAAATGCAGCACGTTTTATAAAAGCTTAATGCATTTAACAGTGCTGCTGCTCTAATGGCACAAACAGGCATTACCTGACTAAAACATTTACATAGTTTTCTACTTTTATAAATGTTAATACGATGTCTTTTGCTTTTATAATCGTATTGTTTTTTGGACAATTAATTGTTGGAAGTTTAGGTAAGAAGAAACTTTAATTTTACGTATAATGAATGAACATATTTTAATTATATTGCAATAAATATTTGCCTTTCGCAGATGTAATTAAGCCATCGGATCGACTGTTACAATACAACAAATTGTTGCATTTGAAGTCTTACAGAAGAAGTAGCGTAAGTCATGAGAGGTCAACATTTATTTAATAATTAAAATGATTATTTAAGAAAAAAAGTGCTATTAAAACAGTTATAGAACTTTTCTGAATATTTTGAGATAGCGCAGAACTTGTTTTACTTTTTGATATCACTGGAATGCATTTTTCAGCTCACTGCACGGCCTTTAGAAACAGTGTACGTGGTAGTATATTACGAGAGTTTATGCGAAGATTCCAGAGACTTCTTCACTACGCAACTAACCGCTGCCTATGAATTATTGGAACCATATTTAGATGTACGCTTAATACCATACGGGAAGGCCACTACTAAAGTTGTAGATTCCGTAAGTTTAACTTCATTTTAAAAACAGAATTATTTACCAGAATACTCATAAATCTGACGTAATGTTATTTGTATTTTAGCCGGAATATTATACGTTTAGATGTCATCATGGCCCCTTAGAATGTTACGGCAACAAGTTACATGCGTGTGCGTTGAATATATTTCCGACAGAGAAAAACGCACATGTGTTTAATGCATGTCTAATGGACTACGATCACACGGGACAAGGTTCTGATGATACAGCTGCGGATAAGGTAAAAATGAATCCCGAAGTTTGATTATTTGCAACAAATAATTAGTCAAAACATCTGTCAATGTAACTCCTATTGCAAGTTATACCCAACACTGTGTGAAGATTTATTTGCTATATCTTGGTGAGTAGGTGGAATTGAACCCAACAAAATTTTATTTTTGACAGACTTTCCAAAAGAAGGATGTACTCAATTCGTCTGTATGTTTTTTTTAGTTCGTTTTTCTAATATTAAAGTTAGATATTTCGATACAAATGACTTTTTTTTAAATAATAGACGAACGGTCATATGAGCAATACTTGTTAATTACTTTATAACAAACGCAAACGGAACTACCTAAATATAGCGAACCTTTTGTGGTGACGACTAAAAATGCACTGAGCTCCTGAGTGATTGTACTCCTCCTTGAAAGTCTTTTATGAAACTACCCCCACTATTACTTCCGTTTTCTAATATTTTCTAGCATCAGCTTTTTTGAGTTAGTACAAGGATTATTAAAGTCACTTTTAATATGTGTAAATTAATGACTATGAATAATTTTAATGATGTTTTCAGTGCGGTAGGGCGTTAGCATTAAACGTCAAAACAATCAAAGAATGTGCGAGCAATCAAACCGGTATTTTCTTGCACAATTATTACGGACAGCGGACGAAGATGACGAAATTTTCATATGTACCTCACATCCTGATTAATGGAGTACGAAGTAATGGTACCAACTTGATAGCTGACATTTGCTCCATCCTTAAAACACCTCCAACCGAATGCAAGATATTTTAACCGTGATTTTCAATTGTCTTTAAATATTTATAAGCAACAGAGTTTCAAAACAATCGCGGAGATTTGGCAAAATTGTTACGACTCTGGAGTCTCACAGTAAAATGAGATCTATAATATACAATATTGGTAGATACAATATAAAATCATAGCATCTAATAGACATTACCAGCACTATTTCACTCTTATTTCTTTAGCAATACCATGACAGGAGTAATAAAATATAAAATTATACATTGTAGTAAACTTACAATGTGTTTTTTTTTTTAAATTGTTCGATTCGTGATGTTTTATCCTGCAAGATAAAAGCATTGCTACTTATGCGCCTGCAAATTTATAGACACGTTCACAAGACGGGGCAGACATAAAAGCACTTGTAAACCAGGCGCTTTATCTCGGTAGTCACAAGCTTGCAAGCCATGCGGAATCTTTTAATTTGTACCTCTCTGATAAAAAAAAAACTCTTTCTACTGTTATGCAAAAAGGATTTTCGCATAGTTTGTATAGTTATTTGACCGTATTTAATTTAAAAATAAACCTTAGAGAACCTAATATTATTTCATTGAAATTAGTTTGAATTAACAGTGAATTAAGTCTTTCAACAAAAATCTGTTTTAAAACGTTTTCATTCCTTTTTTGGACAGTAGTTATTTTTCTTTGTCAGTTAATGTCTCCAAATATGCATTATTTCGATTGGAAATTATTGCAGTTACAATATTAGAAGGGGTCTACATCTAAATTAAATTAAAAAGTCAACATTATTGATTCTATTTGGAACATTCGTCCACACATTTCTTGAAATAAAAACACTTTAAACGCTTGTTTCCGTTGAAACACAATATCCAATTTTATTACAACATCAGAAGAAATTTCGAGATTAACATGAACAGAATTAAACAGAACACGTTATAGTGATTCATAATGTAAACATTTCAAATATTCATTTCTTATGACTAAGAGTCCAGTGCGTTCATGCTCGTAAATTATTACGACTGTTTTAAAGAAGAAACAATAAATTTTAAAAGCCCACTGCTACGAGGCGAGCGTTAGTACCTGGAAACATGCAGTAATGGACCTATTCTTTTAGTAGACTTTATAGTGTGGAATAAACAACGCGTTTGTTAACACAATTATTGAAAATACAAATATTTAAACCACAAAACTTGTAATACAGACATCGACAAGTTAATAATAAAACAAATATATATGTTAATTTTTGCTGTATAGGGCATAGACTAGACTGCTTCTGTTTGAATTATTAAGTTCAACCGGCTCCCTTTGGAATCAAACTAATTAATTCTCGGAACATAGCTCGAACAATGTTACAAATACTCAAAGGGCCAATTATTTCAACTACAGTCTTAGCGGGACGGACGCTAACAACTTTAAACACCATTCTTACAATTACACAGACACCGGCGTCCTATTAACAGCAATAAAGCTGTCCTTTACCATTCTTACTTAACAAATTAAAATGAGCTGTTAATATACAATTAATTGAAGAATAAAAAGCAGCATATTTCCTGAACCGTCGTAGTGTGTGCTTCGCGTTTTTATTCAACTCCGCGCATACATTATATTCATAGAAAGTGCTTCATAGCATACCTTCTGAATACGTTTCCGCGGTTAGAACTATTCCATGCGGATACATTAGTATTTTTAATACAGGCTTTGAATAGCGTCGTATTAATTAAAAGTTAATGTAAATAGTAATATTATCGCAGTTTGGTGTTGCTAATATTTGTCTAGATTACTATTTCATACAAAATCATTTAAGTACTAAATCTTTAAGTTGCCTATTAGAGTAAATTTTGTATGAGAAATCTTAACTTACTCTTACTTGACTCCCTAAAAACGCCAGTTTAATGTAATCTCATTTGAGAGATCACATTTTTTCCAAAGCAATAAAACAAACTCGGAGCTAAATATTTAGGGTTCAGACTAAGGATGCTTGATAACGGAGGGCGTCACCCTCTCCTAAATGCTCAGGTTTATTTCTTAGGGGCAGCAGTGCATTCACAAATCGCGAAAACTCTGCAACCATTTTAGTTTCTCTTATTACATATTTGGTATTAGTAGTTATGGTTCATCTAAACTATCAAAATAATCTGGTAATAACTAAAGGTTTTATCTTTTATCGTATAATTAAAATAACTATGCAATAGACTAGCAACATACAAATTATACGTACCACGAAATCGCTATGAATACGCTGTGCTGAAACATCATTGCCGACAAGGTTTCCATTCTAGTTCACTGAACTACAAGTAATATTTTGCGGGAAACATGTCATATAAACAATTCTGAAATACGGCGTTTGATACGCACTGTCATGTTACCATTATCTAACTCCTTTGTTTTATTAGAATATCATTTAAACAATGGTCGCTAATTACTTCTAGAAACGTATGATTGATTAAGGAAATATACGAGGAAAATAAAATTAATATAATGTAAAGGAAACACGAAGTTTTTGTTGTGTCCGATGCAGTGAGCCCCGATGTGACGGCTCATTAGTCACGTCGGCCGGACACCTTGACAACCCGGTAGAAATTCGAACCGGCCACCGCAAAAACTATACATTTACCTACTAGATGAACTGTGTATAAACATAAAAGGTACTTAGAACTGTTATTTTTTTAAGATACGTAAATAACAGCTTTATAATGTAGACCTTAACTTATTCTAAACTTTCAAATTTGTAGAAACTTTATAGTTAATGTACTATGACGAATCGGTAAATTGGTATTTTATTAAAATATTATGTAAAGAATTTTATTGATAGATATATAGAGTAAAATCTTTGTAATTGTACTATCAGCTATCAAGGGTCTTTTATATTGTATACCTACGAGTAAGTATTATAAGTATGTTAGTTATAGAGAAGCTGAAGTGAGCATTTTGTTTGTACATAACCGATAATAGATACATCGGACCACATAACCGCAAGTCTGCGTCGATCATGCTATGTACTTGAAGCACATTGTATAATGTATTTAACATTGTCAATATCTATCCTACTACGATCAAGTATAAAAGGTTTTTAGTAGTAATTATTGAATACTTTTAAAAGTTACGTATCAAGTTAATTAAGTTACTTCGTATCAGTAATTATAAGTTTTATTATAACTAAAATATTGTACAAACATCTATTGTACAATTGACAAAAGCATTATCTGAGATACAACGACTGCAAATATTATAAACTGACATTTATGGCTTAAGGTGTAGACTATTGTGTCTTCTGGTATAATTTTAGTTAGCTCTTTTTCATCTTTTTAAATAAAGTGATATTCAATTTGTAAGTGAATTACATTGGAGATTATAGGATCACGCAGCGCGGCGAGGCCAATGATTTTAACATTATTATGTAAATGATGGTGTTTGCGTCCACCAACAAACAGGCAACGGGCAGTGGTCACCTCATCTGCTCGTTAACTTACCGACCTGACAAGGTCACAACATGCCTATTTATTTTCCTATAATACGTGCACAGATACGTACAAACATGTGTTTAAAGACATTTATAAAACAAATAAGTAATTTTTTCGCCTCTATCTATAAAGTATTTATTATGAACAATTCTCAACATTCGATTACATTTAAGATTCATTTGGACATCTCGTTATCATGCCTAATTATAGCTAAAAAGAAAAGAAGTCCACTAAAATGTAACTCGTGTTATGCACAAAGAAGTTTAGTTGAACTAAAATTCTTGGAACGGTCCACGACAAAATTCCGTTGCGATCTAAAACAAAAAACTTTTACTCTCTTTTGTTAGGGGAGGGTGAGCCCAAAGCCCGCAGCCCCCGCAGCCGGGAACCGAGTCCCGCACCCGAGCAGTCTCCGTGTCGCCGCATTGTACTATGAAGGTTATAATAACTCTAGTTTTACACGAACACGTTCTCCCTTCTTGTCTAACACTATATAAAAGAAAGGGAGGAGCGTGTCGCGTTAACACGGCAGCAACACGCTCCGGCCGCGGCCGTCCACTTGGCAGCACGCCCAGTGACGCGTGCCAGGCGGCCACGTGCAGCTAGACAAGTAATGAGTTTACAGCATAAAAGCGGCAATTTGATACCTCTCATATCGACAGTCCCGTTTGGCAAATTACTGTATTTCATAACTCCAACAAGAACAACCAATTATTATCCAGACAAATAAGAAAATCAACATGAGGAAAACTTAAAGCCGATACTTCTTTACGCTTACGGGCTCTAAGTGAATGGTTATTTAACACAATCCTTGGTTATGTAGTCGTGGAAAAAAATTACAATCAGTTTAAATTTCTTTAAAGTTTTTAGTAACTAATTATAAAACTGTTTTGAGATAGAAATACTATACTTTACCAGCCGATAGCTCGTTGTAATCATTATCTTTCTTGATTTAAACGCATTAAATGTTTGGTTCATGTTTATTCAGTTCAATGTATTTGTTACGCACGTATGAGTAATTACAGTCTTATTATCACCGGAAAGATTAAATGACAACTTTAAACATCTTCAGCTGTCCGTGAGCCGTGAGCAGTGCGTCATATACAGCTGACTGAGGTTTCAATCACTCTACACATATTGATACATACAGAGTGAATTGTATATTCTACTAGCTGTTGCCCGCGTCTTCGCCCTCGTATAATTAAAAAATATAACCTATGTTACTCACTGATAACGTAGCTTTTTACTGATGAAAGAATTTTTGAAAAATCCCAATAGTTTTTGAGTTATTTCAATGCATACAAATATAGAATTTTTTACCTTATATTAGTAAAGATTAGTAATCAAGAAGACAATCTTGACATGTTGTCGATAAAACAAACTTTAGATTTGAAGACTATTACTATATATATAACATGACAATATAATCGAAAATTACCTTCTTGTTTTTTGTAGTTCCTTGCTTATCCATTATACTCCTTTAGTTGTAACATATGTTTAATTTTTTTCAGACTATTACATCGTAATTTACTATAAGTTATGTAACATTTAGAATTTAAAGTAACTTGTATAAAGACAGTAAAAATTCAATA